TATTTTATAATTTTCATTGATGACTTTTCAAAATACATTTATGTTCATCTTATGAAAAATAAAAGTGATGTTTTTGAAAAACTCATCATTCTTATTAAAGAAGTAGAAAATTGTTTTGATAGAAAAATTAACGATTTAGAAGTGATAGAGGTAGAGAGTATGAATCACTTGGATTAATTGAACATATACAGTCTTTAGTAATAGTTCATGAAACTACACCACCATACCCTCCTCAATCTAATGGTATAGCTGAACGTAAAAATAGAACTTTGATCAACTTAACCAATGCTATGTTAGCTAGTTTCAATGCACCTAAAAATTTGTGGGGAGAGGCAGTCTTAACTGGAAATTATGTTATGAATAGAGTTCCTCGTAAACAAAATCTAATTACTCCTTTTGAATTATGGAGAAAAAAAAAGCCTAACTTGAATTACATTAGAGTATGAGGCTGTTTAGCTTATGTTAGGATGACTGATCCTAAAATTCGTAAATTAGGAATAAGGGCGACTAGATGTGTATTTATTGGATATGCACTAGTTAGTAAAGTATATAGATTTTTAGACCTAGAGTATAATGTGGTAATTGAATCACTAGATGCTATATTTCATGAAGATAAATTCCCTTTTAAATATAAAAATAGTGGGGGTGATTATAATATGCCAAAGTCTAGTGATATTCCTGGTTCATAATTGAGTGAAAATGTAGAACAAAAAGAAAATGAACCTAGGAGGAGTAAGAGGAGTAGAGTAGAAAAAGATTTTGGTTCAGATTACATTGTCTATAATGTTGAAGGGGATCCAACCAACTTACAAGAAGCCTTAACATCTCCTGATTCAGACTTATGGAGAGAAGCTGTAAATAATGAATATGATTCACTCATAACAAACAAAATATGAAAATTAGTAGATTTATCTCCTGGTTGTAAAACTATAGGTTGCAAATGGGTGTTAAAGAGAAAGTTCAAATCTGATGGAACGATAGATAAGTATAAGACGAGATTGGTAGCTAAAGGTTTTAAACAAAAAAAAGATTTAAATTTCTTTGTTACTTTTTCTCTTGTCTCTAGAATTACATTCATAAAATTGCTAATATCTATAGTTGCTACATATAATTTAGAAATACATCAAATGGATGTAAAAACAACTTTTTTGAACGGTGATCTAGAGGAAGAAATTTATATGGACCAACTAAAAGGGTTTATTCAACAAGGTCATAAAAATAAAGTTTATAAATTAACTAAATCTTTATATGGCCTTAAATAGGCATCCAAGTAATGGCACGAAAAATTTGATCAGTGTGTTTTAGCTAATGGGTTTAAGGCTAATGAGAGTGACAAATGTATTTACTTAAAGTCTGAAAATGGTGAACATATTATTATTTATTTATGTGTTGATGATCTTTTAATATTTGGCACTAGTTTATATGTGATTGAGACTACAAAGGCTTTACTAAACAGAAATTTTGACATGAAAGACTTGGGTCAAGCAAATGTGATTCTTGGCATGAAAATCACAAAGAATGTTGATGGAATTATGATTGATCAATCTTATTACATAGAAAAAATTTTGAAAAAATATAACTTTTTTGATTGTAAACCTGCTTGCACACCTTTTGATTCAAGCATTCATTTATTTTCAATAGAAAAAGAATGTGATGTAATTAATCAAATAGAGTATGCAAGCATAATTGGTAGTCTTAGATATGCCACCTATTCTACTAGACCTGATATTGCCTATGCGGTGAGTGTACTTGGTAGATTTACTAGTAGACCTAGTATGGATAATTGGAATGGAATATGCCGTCTTATGAGATATCTAAAAAGAATTATACATATTGGTTTATTTTATAAGAATTATCCTGTTGTATTTGAAGGTTACTTTAATGCAAATTGGAACACCCTATCGGGTGATTCTATGCCCACTACAGGTTATGTTTTTACTTTAGGTGGTGGAGCCATAAGTTGGAAATCAAAGAAGCATCAAATCGAGTACATAATAAGTACTATAATGAAAAATCCAGATCTGTGAGAAGAAAACATGGTACTGTGAGATCATACCTGAATAATAGTGCGATCAATGTTGACTATGTGAGATCAACTGACAATCTTGTCGATCCGTTAACAAAAGCTCTAGCTAGAGAAACGATCTAGAGTACATTGAAGGGGATTGGACTCAAGCCCAAATTTGATTAAGTTACATATGAGGATACCCGACCTAGGGACTGAAGATCCCAAGAATTAGGTTAATGGGACAAACGAATCATAGAACGACTTGATTTGTGAAACATATACTAATAAAATTTATATCATTATTGAAATTTTGTATTCATTGTTCATCCCTATGGTGTAAAGTACATGTGATCTCGTAACGAAAATTTGGTGGATGAGATCAATATCTCTTAATGAGTTCTATAGCCCTTTTTGGGTGGGATGTCTTAGTTAAGAGAACATCCTTGATAGACTCACCTATATAAGTGTGGAAGACGGGCCACTTCCTATGAGAATTTGGGCTAATTCTTTAGAGCACTCAAGAAACTGGGATAAAGTACAAGGCCGAAAATGTACTGATTTTTTAAGCTTTATTTTGGACACCTTGAATATCATGTGTGTGATATGGTTCTACGTACCCTCAAGTAGTCATCGTTTAAAGACAAAATCCACTTTGACTCTAGTACGGGAACATTGAAGTACTAAGTAAAGGTTTAAAGACATTTCCACTTTTGCAATGCATGATATTCTATTTATTGCCCGATTACTTATATAGTATATTTTTTATTAAAATAAGTGGGGGGATTGCTAGAATATTTTAACTAAAAAAATGTTTTTTATGTGGGAACTCAATCTCACATCGACTAAACATCCAAAGATACTTGAGTATATATATATACTAGTGTTATCTAACCTTTGAATCAAAGAGAGGTCTTGAGACTCTCACGTGCGCAACGGTAGTACTAGCGGAGGAGATACGAATTTCTAAAATTTACGAACCACACTGGTGTGCCTAGTCCATGACCCGGGTAGTGGGTCCCCCTGGCTCGCCTAAATGAAATAAAATATTAACTAGTATTAAACTCACTTTTTAATATTTTGTTTAATTATTTCTGTCATTACTTATATAATAAAATTTCAGTCGTTGAATACCAAAAACCTTCAACAACTAGTATTCCAACAATCATATTTTTTGAATTATTATCCAATTAAATATAGCAGTAATTACAGCCTATTAAACACATATATTATATATATGTATTTTCAGTATAGAGATATACAATATATATCATATCAACTTTCTTCTTACAAAATAAGTTTCTGGGCAATATTCAAAGGTGTGTGTGATGCTTCTACTTCATTCGATTGTGTAAATCTAAGTGAAACAACAGTCAATAAGCTTGGTTGTTGTATCCTAGGGACGATGCGCTACTACTTTCTGCACTGTGATTTTTTTATAAAGGGGCGCGAATCGTCTTAAGAGAGCGACCTAGTCTGCACCTCACCCTGCTGTTCACTTTATTTGCATCCAATTTTTTTTCCAACAGATTTCATGTTAGTTTACCTCCCAGAAAAAAGCCCCTTGCCTTGTGTGCGTGTATACGCTTGCTTATGTGTACCCATATATATATGAGACCTTGCTGAGGAAATGTTTGGGTTTCTGCATAATTTTAAGTGACCTTGTTGAGGAAAGATTTATATCACATTTTTTCTGTCAATGGTAGAAATAATTTCAATCAAAGTTCTTTGTACTTAGGAGAAAACTACAATGAATTCATTAAAAAGAGAATTAGAAAACTCAGATATTTTCTACGTAATGTAGTCCATAAGAAGTTTCACTAATCATTCAGCCACACTTTCAAGGTTCAATGAAAACGAATGCCACTTCCCCTTTAAGGAATAATTTTTCATGTTATGGGAATATGATGGATTGAGTTTTGGTGGATGGTAAGGACACTTACAAGAGGCTATAGCATGTTTCAAAGTATCGATACGAGGTGGTCAAGTCATATCCGTATCGGCACATTTGGAGGCGATATTATTACACAATATGTATAAACCCCGAGTATTGCACAACTCGGTCTAATCGTCCGAGTTATATCCGAGTCAATCCTGATTCACCAAAATATCTTCACCGAATTGGTCGATATGGTTCCACGACGCTATATTACATGAATTTTTCGTCATGTTCAATATTTTTTTTTAGGTTGTATAGGCCGATACCGCGCTGCGACGTCACGACCGTTGTGTGTCAGAGTTCTTCGAGTTGATGGTCGATACCGCGATCTTGAACTATGGGCTATTATCTTCTTTCATTTAAAGGAAATGGCTATGAAAAACTTGAAATACTTTATTTTTCAGCCAATTATGGTAGTGACAAGGAAGAATCTTTATAAATTGTGCATCTTTTGCAATGTATGAATAAACAACTTATCAATCATTTTCAGATCTTTTTGCTCCCTCTAATTAATGGGATACCGTTGTACATAACAACAAAATGCATTGCCATTAACTATGTGACACTATAGACACGAAAACAAAAGCAGTTGCTACTTCTAGAACATCCTGAGCCAATCGCTCTACTGAAATGATGTTATGTGTATGTGTCTGGTTTTTTGATCTGTACCTTGGATTTTATTTTATGATGAACAGTTATGTTTTCCTGCATTTGTATAGATACGAGGATGAGCCCATGGAGCCTGAGCCTGAGGTAAGAACTTTTCTCTACAATACTTTTCATATGTATCTGGTTTCCCTTACTGCCAGTGCATAACTAGGTTGGTTTAACTATTGCTGGAATAATTTGCAGGAAGGGGCCAAGGAAGAAGTAGAAGGAGAAAACAATAACATGAAAGAGCTAGAATCTTGGGTACCCGTGCCCTGCAGATTAGGTTTTATTTTGTTTTTTTTTTTCATTTGACTGTTCAATTATGGATTCTTGCTAAGTTGAATTAGTGGAGTCTTTATTTGTATTTACTTTTTACCTTAAATGGACAGCATGAATGCACCTGTGATGATTGAGTTGGACGGGGAAACCGACCCACTTGAGGTAAGCTTCAATATGGGCATTGTTAATGAGAAGATTCAACTACTTTTTTCTTTTTCCTCTTGCCTTTCCTTGCTTATATGATAACAGCACCTTGATTCTGATGCCACAGTACTTTCTGGTTGAATCAAATACTACTTCCATCTTTATAACCTTGGCAATGTTGTCACCCTTGCAACACATATTTATGATACATGCTTGAGATAGATGTTGCTATATATTACCTTTAAACGGCCTGAGTTTTGTTTTTAAGAGGAGGCTATGTATCCTGAAGATTCATTGTTATTGTGGTTGTAAATTGGAGGAAAGAAGAAAGAAGACTAAAATATGCCCGTAAGACCCCATTGCAACCTCACAAAGAAGAGTTAATTTCACATATATATTTAACTTAGTCACATTATTTACCACTCCCTCGAGTTTATTTCTAAAAGAGACTGATGGCAATTTATTTGTCAAGGAAATTGCTGGAAATTGGTATAAAAAGTTTGCATTAGGCAAGAATGTGAGGGCACACCTAGAATATAAGCCCTTCAGCATAATTAATTCGATTTCTAGGTTTCCCTGTTTTCTGACATCTTCAAATTCTCGTGCAAGCTTAGTTCTTCCCACATAGAGTGCAAACCTTTTAGTGTAACTTGGTCAAATTGTAGGTCTTAGCTTGCCATTATCTTGCATCCTCATGTAAGCTTAGATCTTTTGAGTACCATTGTTTGTCTTAAGCTTTATAACATGACTCACATCCTGGCTTTACGTTGCTCTAGTTCCCTGCTTCTTCTTTTAACGCTTTCGTAGCCCATTCTAATATTTTTCTCATCTATTGTTTTAGATTGCAATGAAGGAGCTCCGACAGCGGAAGATACCATTCACCATTCGCCACTACCTGCCTGATGGAAGGTAAGCTTTTCAGTAAATACTCTACATGTTTCCACAATTGTTTGATGGTATCCTATTGGGTGGTGCCTCCATTTTTTGAAGCTACCTCTACGCCCAAAAGTTATAATTGTAGTTTTATGTTTCCTTCTTTGCAATTTCCAGCTATGAAAACTGGGGGGTTGATGAGTTAATTGTGGAAGACTCGTGGAAGCGACAAGTGGGAGGTGACTGATGTACATTTACAATGCCTGCTGAAATGGTTCTTGAAGGTCAGGTTTCTTGCGAGTTTCTGGAGCCTTTGGGTATTGAACCTATTAATGGTACCTGCACCGTGTATCACAGTCTTGTCAACTAAGTTGACATATGTTGCTGCGTTTGCAATTCATCGTACTGGTGCACTCCTTTTTTGACTGGTTCATGTGCAAAATTGTAGATGGGCTGAAGCTAGTATTATAACCATTGCAATTAACTTGACATGTATGTTGTGTTGCCCTTGACGATGCACTCTTGATTCACAGCTATTGAATGAAATCCTTTTGACATTTTCATGGTTTTTTTTTTTGTGGTCAGATCCATATTCATGGTTAAGAACAGCGTAATTAAGGGGGAGTTTTTTTGGGGCATGGTCCATCACTAACTGGGTTGATGTGACACAGTAGAAGTATTGTATGTATCTTAGGGCGGCTACAGTGACTGATCGGATCAATCTGGGGCCTGATAATAAAAATGATCGCCGAACAAGTTTAATGGCTAAATCATGAACCTGTGGGGGATGATGTTAAGGTGGGCTGTGGATCGTGCTCTTATGGATGCTTCTATCCATAACTGTGGAACTGTCAGCAACAAAGCTGTTTCAACTAAATGAGCATAGAAAGATGGTCGAATTTGGAAACACAGTTGAGTGGTTTCCAATGGGCGGTTTTTTTGCTACGGGTTAACGCCGATTACTCCCTTAAGTTCTGAGACCACCATAGCTCGAGTTAGTTTTTAAGGTTATGTTTGACCTTGAGGTGTGAGAAGTATCAAATCTAAGATGTTTTCTTTATAGAGGACAATCTTGAAAGGATCATTACACGATCATCTCATATGTAAATTTGCAGTCTTATGATCATTAGTTCGATACATTTTGTGAATATGCTATAACTAAATAGTGGTCTCCTGATAAACATCAAATTAAGTTAAAAAAAATAAAGTTGAAAATAGTCACCGAAAAAAGTGTCTCAGTTCAGTCTTGTTGCCATGTTTGATTTAAGTTTCCAATCCTCAATTTCAATTAAACACTTAAGAATTAAATTAAGGATTTTAATATCGAAAAAGTAGAGCGTCAAACTTTTCAACCAGAAACCAAATCAAATTACAGACTTTCAACATAATCTCTGCATTTCTGAGTAAAACAACTTTGCCAAAACAGTTGATAAATCATATGTTTTTTTCCTTCAAACTTTCTTCTTCACACTACAGCATAGCTTTCATTTGAGAGTGAAGACTACAGAGGAATGTGTTGTTGAAGATCAATATTACCTGGATCGTGTGTCGCTTTGGTACGTGGTACAGGTATGGGTACATGGTATGACAATTTTTTAGATACGTGATACGATGGGAGTAGGTTTAGTTGGTATGGTATTTTGAATCGCAATTCATTTTGGAACTTTTATGTAGATCGTTTTCACTACTATACAACATTATATATTACAAAACATTCATAAACACTAAGTTAATTACCATTTATCATATAATTGTGCTTGATTTTCTATTGTCTAAAACAATATATAATTATAAATCTATATACATGTAGGCAATTAATATGTGTTTTATATTTGTGCTACATGTTCTAAAGCGAATTGATTTAGGGTTAGGATTGTAATTTGGGGTCGTCAATTTTGATGATCTGGATCGCAAGCCCACCACGTTTTGGATCGATGTACCAGATCGTGTGTCCTTAAGGGTGTAGTGAATTGTGGTAATTATGTTCAAGATCCAATGACCCATCTCATTATTTTAGCTCAAAGGTACTTCTCGTCTTTGTTTGACTTTTTGAAAATTGCTGTGTTTGATGCTTAGCACTAACGTTAAGTTTTGTGAAATGCTCATTTCAGTTATTATTATTTGCACTTGTGCTTTCATCTTATTATCAAAATTACCACAACTTAAATGTCTGCATCAGTTTGGGGGTCAATGGTTAGTAGAAAGTCATACCTGCTTATCACCCAGTCAATCTATCCTGGAAGAAAACCCTAATTGTCAACCCAAATAGAATTAAATGCAAGATAAGTGGTTACTTAATTCATGGTTGCTTCCTGTTTTCTGAATTTGTTTCAGTGATGATGAACTCATTTCATTATTTTCATGGAGGTTCTTTCATTTCTTGTTTTATCATCAGCTGTTAAGAATCCAACTCTTACATTATTTTGCGTTTTTGCGCTATAAAAATGCTCATCATGTTTCAAGTGCTTGATATCAGTGAAATAAATCTGAGCTTTCTTGTAGAACTCCATCTGCACTACTTGTTGATATTTTACAGGGGTCAACATCAGTCTGTGGGGCTGTAGAGATATGCAGACTTCACATTAGCGCAATGGTAAACGAAAAATCTTAATTGCAAAAAAGAATCATTTGAATAGTGATCAAGTGGTTAGATCTAATTCATGCCTTCATGGGTGTATTGCATTTGCATATGCTGCTTACTTTTGTCTTGACATTAGTCCATAATATTGCAGATATTTTTTGGTGGTTTAATGTAATGCAATGTTAAACAAGGACCATAATAGGCAATCAAAATTGAATTAAATTGTGGATTGGTGATATCTTCCTGGGATGCTTCCTCATTGATGACACATGAATATAAAGATGGTCATTAGGTCCTTAAACCAGACATCTCTAGCTCTATACTATTGCATGCATGTCATGAAGAGACCAGAAAAAAATTGATTACTCCTATTGTCCCCTGATTATAGGAATCGTTTGTAATTAATGTTCACGATTAGCGCCTGCTTTTAATAATTGTCTTTTATTTTATTTTTATGATCATATCTGGAGCAATCTTTTCATGCTTTCATGAATGCAGTGAATTTTAAACCACTTTGGTGCCTGCTCTCTATCTCCGGGATTGATTCCAAGTCCTCCTTCCGTGGGAGCAACTATCTTCGTGAAGTCTTCTGAATTAAAATGCTTATAAACTGGAACAATTTAATTCAAAACACAAATAATTTGAAGCATGATTTATAAAAATATTATTCAATGACCCATTATGAACTTTTCACGGGTGTATTTAACTATTATTTGCATTAGTGTTTGCATCAGTCGGCATAAGTGCAGGTCAGTCTATGCTTCTGGGGAAAAGTATGAAAATTGTGGGAGCCTTATTCTTGGAGAAGGGATTAGGTAGTCTACATTTTCTTTGACTGCTTCTTGATACATGAATTTGGGTTTGTTTGCAACTTTTGTCTGCTTTTTTTAACTTCACCTTTTGTGATTGACTGATATGTTAAAAGGCACTTAAGAAGAGTTGAGTTTCTCCTCCTATTGTATCCAAAAGATTCATGATGAGGAACATAGAAGTGGATGACCATTATTTAAATCGTAGAATCCCAGCCGAAATTGCCCAAAATTTGAAAGATTTTTTTCCTGAGCATTGTGATCTTACTTATGAAGAGCTTCTTCTACAGCAGGTACTTTGGAATGAAGTTTTGGTTGCTTTCTTGAATCAGAAAAGAGGAGAGACGTGCTTCTGTTTAACAATCAGGCCCTCAGTTTTCATAGGAAGAGGTCTTGTGTTCATAGTTTCCCTATTATGTTGCAGGAAAGTGTTTATATGTCGATTCAAGCAAATGGCAGGAACAAGGATAGATCTTCTGATCATGTTCAAAAAAGTGACTGGAGTGAGTTCTCGGGACAAGAAGGTGAATCTTCGCAGGTTGGAAATCTCGAGTGTCAAGTAGCTCTAGATGAAGCTTTAGCTAGATCCTTGCAAGAGTTAGGGGAGGACCTTGATGATATATACATATCTGAACACAATGATACTGCAGCTGGTAAAAACAAAATCTAAACCTTTCATGTGAATTTGATATGGTTGCTTCTAGTTCTTAATAATACAATTTTTCGTTCACACCTAATGTTATGTTGCTTGTCAAAAAGAATTGTTTTGTTGTCTAGTTTTTGATTCAGTACATTCTTTTGCCCATCAGACTGATGCTTCTGTTGAATGAAAGGCAAAGTGACACGCACAAAATAAATGCATACTCTTATGTTTATATTCATGTATGTCGATAAAAGTCTGCCCATACTTCGTACCAGTTCTCTTTCTTCCCCAGTAGACTAGTGGAAGTGCATGATACAATAGATTCATTTTCTAAATTTCTATCTGCATTGGAAATTTTCAGGCAATTTAAATACATGTACTAGCATATGATGACTTATCTAGCTTTCTCCTGATGAAAATAAACTTGCTTTTACGTATTCTGCAGGGAATACTGCATTTAGTCCCAGGGAAACTCCTGTCAGGGTATCTATACATTTCTTAGCACTTTGGTTATTTGTTTATTGAGGCTATAATCGATATACGATAATGGTTTTTATGTCTAAATCAGTCAATCAGTCAGGATACAAGGCAAGACGATACTGATCCGGATAATATGAGCTATGAGGTAGGTTTAATGATGTATACAGCACCTTGCATGTTGTGTTTTGAACTTTTGCTGGAAACTTGTTTGCCATAAAACCTGTAGTTATGCATGCAAACCACGATGTTCTCCCTTCCTACTATTGTAGCTATATTTTGCATTCGAGTCTATAACTGAACTAGGGAATATGTATGAGTAATTTGGGTTTAAAAACTCAGCCTGGTATTATAACAGTTTGAGCTCTTCAAGTAAGAAGTAACTACGCCATTAACCTCAGAATAAAAGATTACATCTAGGGTTTCAAGAGATGACTGTCCCTTTTCATTTGGATGATCACATCAACATTTAGATAACAATTTAAGGTGAGAATCCATTACATGAATGGCATCATGTCATAAAAGGGTTATTATTTGGGGAAGATGTTATGACTGGAAATTTGTGATTTCAAAGCAATTCATAAAATTGTTGCACGTCCATAAATATGGTGCAGAGCCTCATTTTCCCTGGTGACCCCCCAATTGTTATATGATAAATTTCAAGTCCACTGCTATAGAAAATTCAAGGTGGTCATTCTTATATAAAAGTTTTCAAAACACACCACTGTAATTTGTATGACTCCCTTATGTTTGTCCACCAATGGTTATTGATTATGTGTTTGAGTCTTTGAGAAGCCCAATGTCTTGAAAACCCAAATTGAAATTGAGATGTTATATATGCAAAATTATCTTGGACTTAAAATTCCCAATCATTCAGTTAAGTTAATTTCGTTTTCAGAACTAAAAGATAGGAAGGGCATTCATTTTCATGAAGTCGGTGTAACTTTATGCTGAATTTTTGTGTTAGCAATTACAAACACTAGGACAAAGTGTTGGCACTGAGAGCAGAGGACTGTCAGACGAGCTGATCTCCCAACTACCAACTTTCAAATACAAAACAGGGTTTTTTTTCAAGAAAAAGAAAACAGAAAATGAAGAGTAAGAATATCCGATCAAAAGTTTTTTTTGTACATGTGTATGTGTGTGAAGCATGTGCATCCATATCCACAAACATGCATGGTCATAACACTTGCGTTCGCGTAGACAAGCAAAAAGGTTCTACTATATGCTTGGCTGTGGTGGTGATCTTAAGCAAAATTGTCATCTATGCCATTAGAGATCATTAGCCCCTTAGATTTTGAGTGATATCTCCAAGTATTAGAGTTTTGGTTGGGACATGGTGTGGAGATATTACTTGTCACTGAAAAGAATTTAAGAACTTTTCTTGCAGTCCTTGATTCTGTGGATGGAGAGTGATAGGATTGGCTTGTAAATATTTTTGTGGAAGGGGTAAGATAAATGTCAGATTCTTCCTTCCTCTCTGTCTCTCCCTCCCCCTCCAAAAAAAAAAAAAAAAAAAAAAAACACATACAAAAAACAAAACCCCAAGTGCTCCACCATTAATATTCTCCTTTCAAGTATTAATCAAAACTTTTTCATGTTTTTATCCTTTCCTGTGCACTGAATCATTTGTCATGTCTTTTTACGATCCCTTTTATACTTGCCATGGTCTGTCTGGTTGACATAAGACCTCCACTGTCCTCTGTGCTGTTGCCTTCAAATCTCATCACAAATTGAAGTGATGAAAATTGGATTGGACAGCTAGTGGAATTTGCAATACTTGGCAATTACGCCTCTAAGCCCCAAGCATAATAAGGATTTAAGGCAAAATTTTGGGTTCTGGGACTTGTTTTGGTCTTGTAATAAGTTCAGAGATTCAAGCTGTAAAATGCCTAAAGCTTACGAGATGTTTTGATTTAAAGTTGTAAACTTATGGTCAACATAGTTTTCAGTTTCCCTTCTAAGTATTGAAATATTGGTTGAGCATACAACTGCTACCAACATTAATTCATCAAGGCAACTGATTTCATATTTGAAAGCTCCACATTGGTTGCTTTATTCCAAGAGTGTACCCTCTGCATCAGTTGGAAGGTTGTGGTTAGTTATTAGTCTTAAAAAGTTGCATAGGTGCAAAATTTGTAAAATATCGATGTGACTATCACCTTTATAATTGATGACATTTGTTTCTGATCTACTTCCAGGTGTGCGATATGTCGCATGGCATACAAAAATAGGGTTTGGTTGACCACTTTGCCTTGTGCACACCTATATCACAGGGATTGTATCACACGTTGGTTGAAGCTCAATAAGGTAAGAGTCATTACTTTTATATTATTGTTGTTCTGTGCACTATCATATTCGTTATTCTTTGAGGATTTCGGTGTTATTGTTTGAGGATTCTGTATGTGGTACTAAAGTGAACTCATTACATCTTGGTAGCTTTTCTGGTGTTTCTGTTGGTTAAAAGTACTATGTATATGAACATCTTTGTTGTGGTGTCCTGATTCATCAAAAAATGTTGCAGATACCTTGTCCTTATTTTGGTAGCTCTAATTAACTTTCAGCTTAAAACATACTTTATTGCTCGCCCACGCCTATTACTAGCTTCTTCATGGCTTTTCCCTTGGGGTTATTGAACCTTTCCTAGTCCATATGAAGTAGTTTTGAAATCATGAAACACGTTTCTATTGAAGTGAGCCTACGCCACCCGTTAATCCATCATCATACTACCCTTAAAATATGGTATTACTTATCTAGCCAAATACCAACTCTCTTCTATGATAAACTCAATCAGAGTCGGTCAATACTCTTGGCTTTTTTAATATTCACATCAGTTTTGTGCTCTTTAAATTCTCTTTTGTGATTAGAGTGAATGCTTGTTAATATAAAGAAGTTATTCCTACATGAAAGTGTGCATGACTCTCTCCCTCTCTCTCTCTCCCTCTCTCAGAGTTGCCCGGTCTGTCAAGTGGAAGTGCGAGGTAACTAATCTATTGAAGCTTGGATGCCAGAAAAATACACTTGATTCGGAAATGGCTCATATGTAATGGTTTGGGCAATGTTGTGAATTGGTACTTGTAGTAATTTTGAGTGTATTATTTCTCCTCGTAAAGAGACCAAAGAAGAATTCACCTCATAGATAATATGGGCTCTTTCCCACTTCTGTTTAGAAGGGTTTCTTTATATATTTTATGAATACGAGTATATGTTCTTGAGTAATGCTATATGGACTTAAAATTTAGACTTGATAATCTCAATCATTGAGTAGATAGTGGGTCCTAAGAAATGTTGGGACTGACAGTGAAATCAATGGTTGTAATTATTAAGTCTGATTTTTAAATCTATTTTTTAAATCCACGTAACCTTGCTCGAATCCAAGTTTTATAAGAGGGTTTCTCACCTATATTTAGTGGGCGTATAGGTGAGTGATCTACTATTAAACAGAACTAAATAAAAATATAATAAAGGTAAGAGTGTCAATTTGTGTAATGTTATTTTCATGCCGCATCTTTTTTAGTCGTGTTATTTTTAAGGTTATGTTGTATTCATGTTGAAAAAAATTAATTTAATCAAAAAACAAATGGCATATAGCTATGTAAAGAAATTTTTAAAAAATAATAAAAAAACTCATTTTTTAGCATACAATTAGGGGTGGCAATCGAATCGGGTTATGTCGGGTTTTTGTCGTGTCGAACATTAGTCAACTCATCCAACCTATTTAATTATTCGTGTCGTGTTGAATTGACCTGTTTATTTTTGTATCGTGTTTGTGTTGATTTACATAAATTTTAAATAAAAAATTTAACGCTAAGATTTTATTTCCACTTAATTGAATCTCTTATCATACTNGCCACCCGTTAATCCATCATCATACTACCCTTAAAATATGGTATTACTTATCTAGCCAAATACCAACTCTCTTCTATGATAAACTCAATCAGAGTCGGTCAATACTCTTGGCTTTTTTAATATTCACATCAGTTTTGTGCTCTTTAAATTCTCTTTTGTGATTAGAGTGAATGCTTGTTAATATAAAGAAGTTATTCCTACATGAAAGTGTGCATGACTCTCTCCCTCTCTCTCTCTCCCTCTCTCAGAGTTGCCCGGTCTGTCAAGTGGAAGTGCGAGGTAACTAATCTATTGAAGCTTGGATGCCAGAAAAATACACTTGATTCGGAAATGGCTCATATGTAATGGTTTGGGCAATGTTGTGAATTGGTACTTGTAGTAATTTTGAGTGTATTATTTCTCCTCGTAAAGAGACCAAAGAAGAATTCACCTCATAGATAATATGGGCTCTTTCCCACTTCTGTTTAGAAGGGTTTCTTTATATATTTTATGAATACGAGTATATGTTCTTGAGTAATGCTATATGGACTTAAAATTTAGACTTGATAATCTCAATCATTGAGTAGATAGTGGGTCCTAAGAAATGTTGGGACTGACAGTGAAATCAATGGTTGTAATTATTAAGTCTGATTTTT